ATAATTTGTATTTTTCTATGATATTTGTTATGTTCACTACAAACAACATATACTAACACTAAATGTTAATTAATATTTCTAACGTAAGAATTGTATAATAGATTTGAACCAATTTTTTGGCACAAACTTATATCGGACTGAAGGTTAAGACTAATAAGTTTTTTGTTGTAAAAGTTTTCTACGAGTGTCTGTCAAGGCTTTCGGTGCGGTTTTACATTAACGACAAGTGTTTGGAAAAAAGTTTTGCATTCATTTTCCAATATTCATAACATACACAACAAGTGACTCAAAAAACTTTTTTCGACTTAAAACTCATAATATTTCGCGAAACACCTACTGTTGAGTCAATTCAATAGTGTTTGTGTCAATTAAGTTGACACTAAAATACTTTATCATACATTCAATTGAACTTATTTTTCAACAGCGAGTTACTCGAGTGAGACATTTATGTTCATTCATTAAAACATACAAATCGCTAATTAATAAATTATTAGCGAAAAACATATTGTGTAAAAAAATCACTTAAGGAAAAGTTTTCATAATATTTCCGTTTTTTATCAGATTTGTGTCTATCGATTGAAAAACACAATTTGACACAAAATGTCCGATTCCGTGGCCAAACAGGTGGTTCTGGTGACCGGTGCCAGCGGTTGTCTGGGCCAACACGTCGTCAAACTGCTACAGGAAAGGGATGACACCGTCAAAGAAAAAACACTATTTGACACAAAATGTCCGATTCTGTGGCCAAACAGGTGGTTCTGGTGACCGGTGCCAGTGGTTGTCTGGGCCAACACGTCGTCAAACATCTACAGGAAAGGGATGACACCGTCAAAGAGATCAAATGCATGGACTTAAAGCCATATCAGAATAATTTGCGTGAGTTTTGCGGATTTGTTTGTAAAGCGCCTCTATTTTCCGATTCCTATCAATGGCTAAATGATTGTGTCTTATAATGGCTTATGTCTGCCAAACAGAGCATAAGACAGAGAAACCGATGACAATAATCACTGCAGACATACGTAATGAGAGGGCAGTGGTTAAGGCACTGGAAGGCGTCGATTGTGTCATACATTGCGCCGCTTTGATCGACACAGCCAAACAGAGCATAAGACAGACAAACCGATGACAATAATCACTGCAGACATACGTAATGAGAGGGCAGTGGTTAAGGCACTGGAAGGCGTCGATTGTGTCATACATTGCGCCGCTTTGATCGACACCAGCCTTTGGCCGGACGTCAAGTCGATGAACAGCGTTAACGTGGACGGTATGTGCGGCCAGACTATACATGTATGTCCATTATATACAATAGACACTGCTATTAGTTTAGGGAAGAGATTTATGATTTCACTATCTCTTTATAAAAATATTGACAACTTTTTCAAAGATATAACTTATTGAACGCCGTTTTATAAACAAAAAAGTGCTATATTTTTATCGATTATGTGATAACAAAAAAGTTTAGTTTAAGTCTCAAAGTCTTGTATGGGTATGAAATATGTCTTCAAATTTTAAAGACATAATAACGACGAGAGAGAGAGAGAGAGAGAGAGAGAGAGTGAGTGAGAGAGAGAGAGAGAGACTATAAAACAAAAACTTAAACCAAAATTGTCTCCAAAAAAGACTCATTTATAGAGAAAATAAATAAGAAACAAAATCAAAACCAAACCACTGCTGAATACTAGAGATATACTGTATATAACTATTATAAAACAGATAGAAAAACCATTTTCACAACATTTTGATAGCCACTGACAGCTAACGACTATAACTACAGACTAGTTTGCAGTGAATCCTCTCTATTAATATCTATCCATTATTTTCGCAGTTTTCTCATTAAAAATAGTCCTAAATACCAGATTTCGAAAAAAGTTTTGTCAATCAGATTTGACTACTAAAATGCGGGTTATTGTTAAACTATTTAAGTTAACAAATTTATATTTAAACCTCAACTATGGTTTTTGGTCTTACATATTTTCCCGAAGAGATTACTAGTTTAGAGCACCGGTAGGTCGGCACAGGTAGATTATCTGTACATCAAAAAGTATAAATCTTATAAAGACAATCAGCACAGCGTTGGAAAGAAAATGAAAAATGATCGAAAACATCTATCGGGATTTCACAGGTAACATCCTCATTGAGGGATTGGGAGGTACGGTATGTAAGAATTTTCTATAAATATTTCTTAAATCAAAAATCAGATTTAATCATCAAATAGGGTTCAAAAAATTAATAATATTAACATTTTAAAACTTTCAGATAACTTAAGAAATAACTGATCTAGAGCAAATCAAAGTTCACTATTTTTCACAGGAATTTAATATCAAAAACAAATTAGACGAAATGTTAGAAAATTTAAAATTCTCTAGCTCAGGCATTACTTGAGATATTTTAAAAATTTAAAATTAAATTGTTTGTCAATTTTTGAGGGGATAATCATGCGTTAATTAGATTTTTGATTTATGAAAATTTATATAAAATTCCTAAATTCCTTTCCTCCCAGCCCTTCAATGAGGAGATTACCTGCAAAATCCCGATAGAGGTGTTCAATCATTTTTAATGTTCTTTCCAACGATGTGCTGATTTTCTCTCTACGACTTATACTTTTTACTGTACAGATAACCTACCTGTGCCGACCTACCGGTGTTCTAAACTAGTACTCTCTTCTGGAGAATATGTAAGACAAAAAACCATAGTTGAGGTTTAAATATAAATTTGATAACTTAAATAGTTTAGCAATAACCCGCATTTTAGTAGTCAAATCTGATTGACAAAACTTTTTTCGAAATCTGGTATATATATTTTTAATTAAAATGTTGTCTTAACCCACAAACAGGAACTCAAATATTGATCGATGCGTCCGTTGAGCTGAACGTCAAGTACTTTGTATACGTTAGTAGTGTGGATGTGGTGGTGGGGGACGACCCCATCTATTTCGGGGCCGAGAATACCACTCCACTGCCGAAGCGACACATACTTCCCTACTCTAAGACCAAATTAGACGCCGAAGTCATCGTCAAAGAGGCCAATGGGAGACCACTTCCCAACGGTTAGCACACAAACACAGATAACCACAGAATATTCCTCAAGAATCCTAACCATTAATCCTATGATATTCACCGCAAACTACAGGCACAGACAAACTGCAGACCATTATCTTAAGACCGTCGTTACTGTACGGCGAAGAGGATCACCATTTCGTGACGACTGCCCTCCAGGTGGCCAGACACCAGTCGGGCGTCTTGAGGACCATCGACAACGTGTTCGTACGGATCCAACCGACGTATGCGGGGAACGCCGGCTGGGCCTGCATTCGGGCCAAAGACAAGCTCCAGACGGACGAGTCGGTGGCGGGCGAGGAGTTCTTTGTCACGGATGACACCCAAATCCTCGACCCCTTTGAATTCCTGGCCCCATATGTCCAGTGCCGGGGCTACAGCCTGTCCAAGCGCTCGTACCCCTACTGGCTATTCATGTTAATCATGTATTTTATCGTTTTGTTCGTACGGGTGCTGTGGTCTGTATACCCCATTGAGTTGCCCAAAGGTGTGACACCGGAAAACATGAGATACCTGTGCAACACGTACTTCTTTAACCGCAATAAAGCGATACTACGCCTGGACTACGAGCCCCTCTATGGCCACGAAGAGTCTCAACAAAAGTCGATCCAATACTACAAGAAGTTATATTTATAGACCTTTTTTGTATGGACTCATGTGTGTAATGATAACGAATTGTCTGAACAACAAAACATACCATTAAGTGAAACACAGAATATATATCCAGAATATTCTACACTATACACAAAAATTAAACCCCAAAATAAATAGCGATTGTATTTGTCAAGGTAGTAGCGAATAATAAATACTGTATGAAAAAATCGATACTTGTTTTTAGGAGAATTTGTTTTTTATTTTGAATATTTTTTGAGAATTTTTTTCAATATATATATTAAGTTCTTTATATTCAAAGTTATTGTAGTTTATTATTATTTTTTATCCATTAAATTTTTTTCATTGTATTAATTAAATACTAAAACAATCAGTCAATACGTCGGTATGTTTTTCTATCACAGACAACGAAAAACATGAAATTTTTTGTATTTTTGTTGTTTTTGAAATGACATTTAAATTATTATTATTACGTTTCCGGAAAATAATAATCATCAATAATAAGTATAATTAATTAATAATAATAAATAAATAAAATAAGCGCTTATAATTCAAATAAAACTTATTCCGTGTGTTTTTCTTAAATATATATAATATTTATAAATTGTTTAATTTTTTCATAAAACTATTTCCAAAAATTAAAACTTAACATAAAAAGCAATGTTTTATGCGTGTGTTACTTCACTTAAGAGGTAAACGGTTAGCAAATATTTATAATCATGATCGTTTAATTTAAATAATAAATAATTTATACGTCAAAATAAAATAAACAATGCGAACATAAAATGATAGACAAATAATCGTAAATCTCATTCAATTCATAGCCATTTGTATGCTTTTTAGGATATAATAAAAAGTTATTTCTGAATTTGTTTGTGTCGTTTAGAAACTTATTTCACATTTTGTTTGGTTTTTCATATAAAGAGAGAGAAATAGAGAGAGAGAAAGAAGTTTTTGTTTGAAAACAATTAAAAACCCAAAAAATTGGTGTCAAAAACAGATATATATACCATTTAAAAAGGGTACAGAAATATAAGCACAAGAATATTCGTATTGCAAAAAGAGATTTGAATTTTTAGGGCAATTCTCATATCAAACAGTGTGTTATTCTTTGTCGTAAAATACATATACTTTTTTCGGTGTATATATATAGATATATGTATAAGTAGTGGTCAATTCCTGGTCGCCATTCGTGTCATTAAAATTTAAAATTCACATAAATTTTACGCACAAATAAATCCCACGACCCGAGCGGTAGTCCCGGTGTTTGTTGATGTAGTTTATCGGTGTTTGTGTTGAAGTGTTTGTTTGGGTGTCGGAGTCCGAAGTGAACGAAGAATTTAATAGAAAAACAACTAATCTTTTGTTGAATAATAAAAAACAGGAGACTTGTTGTCCGGTTGAGTAGTCTTGAGAGACCCGCACACAGACTGACAATACATTTAAACTTTTGTTAAGAGAATATATTTAGAAGTTATTTAAAAAATCTGTTTTTTCCTCAAATGGTATCCTCTCTTCGTTTTTGTTTTATTAATTAGTTATTAATTATTAATTAATTTCGTTAATAAATAATCCGAAATTCTTTAATAATATTCTTTTGGTATTCAAAAAAGAGTTGTGGAAAAAACCAAACGACGTGTGAAAGCAAGCGATTGATCGGTGGATACGATATATTTAACAGGAGTTTGAGAGACACACGAAACGAATTGAACATTTGCTTTGCATTTGTCACCTGTTTTGTCGACCAAAAACTTAATTGAGAAATGGTTTTAAGTGTCTGTCCGGCGATTGTGAATGAGTTCGTGAGAGAGAATAGAAGAGACTTGAAGAGAGAGAGAAAGAGAGTACAGAGAGGTTCGGGAGAGAGAGAGAGGGAGAGGGAGAGAGAGAGAGAGAGAGGAGAATGAGCGGAGAGAGCGATAGACAGTCGTGTGTCGAGCCGTTTGATGTCCAGAGAGACAGAGAGAGAGAGAGAGAAAACACAAGAATAACACTAAAAAACAAACAAAAATCAAGTGATGATAGAGTGGGTGGCGAAGCGATGGCGTGGTGTTCAACACAACAACAATTTGATGACATCTTCATAGGTATGGCAAACATTAGAAGACTTTTTTCTTATCTTATGTCTCAGTTTTGTGGTGTGAAATGTGAAGTGTATTTAAGTCTGTGTTTTCTGTAGTCTTTTTTATCAGTACTTTGTGTTTTCGTATTCACAGAAGTCGTAAACAATTATTATTACAATAATTATTATAAATAATAATAAATATTATTCTCGTATTTCTATGTCATTGTAGCGGTCGGTGAGGGCACTCATAACAGACTGTCCACTCAGTTGCCGTTACGGCTGTTGAGTACGGCGCCGGCCGTTTGATGGGATGGCGTGGTCTGGGGCCCAGTGGCCGATGGGTTTAATGTCACTGTCCTGTTGTCTACTGTGCCGTAGATTTTGGTGGCCTTCTTAGCCATACTACTCAACAGTTCCAATGAGTTCTTATGGGTTGACTTCAATGAGATGAGCCATTCCTTGAGTCCTATTTCGTCCTGCATTTCGGTGTCGATCGAGAGAAATGAAATGAATTTATGTTTTTATGACTTGTAATCAAAATTGAGATCTATTTCGGAAATATGTATCGTTTTATATTTGTATTCATTATGTGCTTAAATTTTTATAACTTTATTTTCATTGAATATGTTATGAGAGTAGGGGAGGGGGAGGGGAAGGGGATAAAGAATATAAGCACAGAATTTCTACATCTCGTGTACAGTATAATAATTTGTTACAATAATTTATTTTTATTATTAACACTAAAGTATAAGAATTTAAAGAATATATGTAAAGAAATATATTAAATATATTCCGAACATAAAATATGATAATAATTTTAAATTAAATTTTTCTCAAATTCTAAGCGAAAGAAAAATAAAATGTATAAAAATCCTAATGTTTTAAATAAAGTGTAATATTTAAACAAAAAAGAAGAGAGAGAGAGAGAGAGAGAGCACATAAAATCGGGATTTTGTTAAATTAAAGTATTCACAGATATTATGGATAAGAAAATAGAGTACACTATATATGAGAGATAATCGATTCGTGGAGTTAAACATAAATCTTGATATATTGTCGGCAATTATGAGCCAATCATTTATAAGGATAGAGGGATTAAATGCTCACATTTTGTGTTAGTATTGCTCGAGTCGTTTCATAACATTCAAATAACGCATATAAAAGTGCTTAATTATAATTTTAATTACAGAAATATATACATTCACTCTTATCGTATGCAACTTATGTAATCTCTACCACTAATCTGCAATATTACAGTATAGTGCAGTATAATCGTGTGACACTACTTAAGACTTTCATAATTCATTAATAATTAGCGCAAATGATAAGAGTGTTTTAATCACGACCTAGTATCTCATTATCTAATTATTAAAATATAATCTCTTAGATTCAAGAATGACATAATTTAAATAGCCTTATGTTTATAGTATAAATTTTTACAAATCACGTTCACAGACTTGAATTTATAATAACTTATAAAATCGATTGCAAGTAACAGATGCGATTTTATGTGGATATTAAAAATATTTTATATTATAAATAATCAATTACTTAAAAAGAGACAAATACTGTGTATTATACGTAAAATTTTATATAACAAGTAAAGGTACAGAATATTCTGTTTATACGTTGAGAACAATGCTCAACAGTACAGGCATTACCACCACTTCTAAGAGACCAGAATTAATGCATTGTTTATTTTGGGAACATTACTAGTAAACAGTTTACTTCAAAATTTACTTTAATTTCGCTTATATTAACTTCAAATGGATAAGTGAGAGTGAGTGAGTGTAAGTGAGAGAGAGAGAGGGCATTGTAAAAATTAGTGCCAAACACTTGACATAAACAAAGACTAAATTCTAACATAAAATACAATTTTTCAGATTTCCATCAAATAAAATGAGTTTCTCTTCACTCGCAGCACATAATTGACAACAAATGTCAAAGAATTCTAGGAATGAGTCCAATAAATATGAAGTGAGAAAAAATCATATTCAACACAGAATTCTGGTTCTGACTGTTAATTGAATGAATGAATTTGAAGTAACGAAACAACAAAAGTAAAACAAAAATATTAATTTGTTTGGTTTTATGTCAGAAATGAGGGGAATGGGAGCTAATGTGCATGGATTAAAACATGGATTATACGGCAGATTGTAATCAACACATTAAACAGATATATGCACTGCGACTGTATGACTCACAAACATAGAGTACTGTACGGTATTACCATAATATTCACGATAAACACCATAAGGATACAAACAATTTATGAAACGTAAACATGGGATGAAAATAATATTCTGTCATATTTGCAAAATTTTGAGTATAAATAATGGAAAGGGAGATATTGGATGACAACACCTGTCAAAGCGTATACACCTTTGGCCGCCTCTGGCTTTTAGCAAGTGGTGAGAGATTGCGAGACAAAAGGGATATATAGACTGAGATAAGGGATGAAATGAGAGAGAGAGAGAGAGAGAGAGAGAGAGAGAGGGCATTGTAAAAATTAGTGCCAAACACTTGACATAAACAAAGACTAAATTCTAACATAAAATACAATTTTTCAGATTTCCATCAAATAAAATGAGTTTCTCTTCACTCGCAGCACATAATTGACAACAAATGTCAAAGAATTCTAGGAATGAGTCCAATAAATATGAAGTGAGAAAAAATCATATTCAACACAGAAATTTCTGAATTTGTTTGTGTCGTTTAGAAACTTATTTCACATTTTGTTTGGTTTTTCATATAAAGAGAGAGAAAGAGAGAGAGAGAGAGAGAGAGAATGAGTGGATAAATGTGAGCACAGTTTAGGCTGCGGTAGCGTCGAGTAGAGCACAGAATATTCTGTGTGTATATTCAGGTATAGCTACGAGAAAAAAAGGTGCAAAAAATCGATTTGATTCACTACTTACGGGATTAGTGAGCACAACTTTGGCGTCCTTTTCCCTCTCGACTTTCATTTTAAGTACTATTGATTGTTCGCCTTTGATTTGCACGTAATCACTACACACGTCCTCTATTTGGTCCATAAATATTAACTGCAATTTAAGAGATATATCTGTTTAGATGGCGGCCGACATCGAAATCAATATTCAAGACATTGTATCACCATTTTTATCTGTGTTTATAGTTTATGGGTTTTAGGTTGCATTTAGTTTATTAATATATGGAGGTTTTAATAATTAACTAGTTGTGTGTGTATGTAGGTATAAAATGTTATTTATTTGATTAGACGGTATTTTTATGTGTTCGTAAAATGTACAGTACAGTAGTGTATACACTGTATATATTGCATAATAAATTGTAATTTTTATTGACTATAACGTATTGTTTGAAATTTTGTTTTTCTCGTAATAAATGCTAAATTATTCGCCCAAAAACCCATTGTTTTGCGTAATATTTGAGAAAAATTACACATTATTTCTCATATAGAGTTAAAAAACACGAATGAAAAATCATTTTGTAAATTAATTTGTGCATATATTTTATGCATTACTCAGAATGGCATCTATTTGTTCAGCGAATGAATTGAATGAACGAATGAATAAATAAATAATTAACACTTAATTTGATTGAACCGTATAAAACACATTATAAATAAAAATAAAACTACAATTTAATTTGGGACAAAAATATATTAACTTAATATACTGTATGCGAGAGAGAGAGAGAGAGAGAGAGAGAGAAGAATATACAGAATATACAGAATATTCTTGTATATAATGTATATAAAACCGATGAAATGGATTCAATTTTGATTATATAATGATATTCTAGTGTAAAGTGTGGGCGACGTCGATGTTTTGACAACATTATTAGCTAAATATACTTTTATATATAAGTCTAAATATTGCGTTTATTTTTCCACACAAAAAGACTTAATTTAATATTTTAAGCGAAAGAATATATATATATATTGTATATATTCTGTGCATTTCAAACCATTCGCTGAACAAATATGACAACAAAATCCATTTAATTGATTAGAAAAGAAATATTGAAATCCAATACATATAATATAAGTGTAACTAATAGTCAACATAACGAATATATGGCGAGAATGCGTTATACAAGAATTGCCAATAAAAATCAATAATAAAAACTTGATTTAATCATTATTACACTATAAACACGGAATTTATATCATCGTATAAAATACTAACCGATTTGTAGTCACAAACAATTATAGCGCAAAACATACGATAGGATGATAGGGTAGGAACTGATTTAAGAATCGGAATATTCTTGAAAATACGAGAATCGGTGGGAATTGTTTGCAAGAAATTGTGTGTTTAAGGAATTCTGTGAGTTTCGCTCACATAATACACGAGACAATCGATTACTGTTTAGGGAATGAATTTGTTGACAAAATAATGGACACAATTATGGCTTCAATTGGCTAGTCGTGCGGTAATGATAGGACATATACAACATTGGTTTGTCAAACTACCAGTGCCTCTTAAGACGTGATCCAACAAATGAATAATTAATTCGCCGGACAATCAATTTGTTGAGTTCGCTATCATTACACGATTAGACCGTATTGTGTGTCTCCGTATTGTACTACACTATGATATATAATCTCAACCATTAAATAGATTCCTAATTCACTAAACGCTAAGAATATTGGAATCCAAACACAAATATTATCTCAAATTCTGTGGACATTAAGCGTTAGTGGGATATGTTATCCGCGAAAATAACTCATTATATGTTTTGAGAGACAGTATAAGTGAAAGCCATAGAAAAAATAAAACACAATATTTACTGAATTATTGAACAAATGCTATGCAATGCGGTTATTGTGACCGATATATACGTATATATATAAAACCTAGTGCAAACGTTTTTATGGTATAAAATATTTATTAAAAACACAATTTTAGCCGTAAAATTGATTTTTTCTTTCGCTACAATTGTCTACATTTTGTGTGCAAAAAGTCTGTTTATATATTATATATAATATCTCTTTCGCTGTTCACGTCGTCTCCAATACTGAGCTAAAACACTGAGAGACCTGTGTTTGAGTTTAACAGCGAATTTGAATAACAATATCATACTATATGTGACTATTTTTAGCCGACAATCATATCGTTTATAAGACTCAGTGAGTCGTATAATAATTGAGACGCGAGAATAAGAGATGATTTTGAAGTATTTTTCACAAAGAAATAAGTGGGAGAGAGAGAGAGAGAGAGAGACTAAAAAATAATAAAATCACAAAAACTAATATTGGATTTTAAATCTACATTTGCCGTCGATTTTCAATTCATGCGTTAATTGATTGGATGTTAAAGAATATTATCATCAAATAGTTTACACATTATTTTTGTCACTCATTTGGAAAAATACATATTATTTTCGGTGCAAATGAGCGAAATTTTAACAAAAAATATGTAAAAAAATATAATATTCCGTATAAAACAAGAAACTAATATTAAAATTCTTGCGAAAAACTCTATGATTCATGTGCTGTGAATAATATGACATGTTTTTTGTTACTATCGATTGATAAAATAGACATCAAATAAATTATCGACTTTTCGAAACTCTCTCTCTCTCTCTCTCTCACACACACACACACACACACACACACACTCACTCACTCACTCACTCGGTATTAAATGCTCAAAACTCTAACACAAGAGTTAACATAGTATTTACCAATGAATTGTTAAGTATATGTGTATTTCGCACACATTTGAAAAGGCTTTTAATTTTTTTATTGCAATTCAAACGCTTTCCCATTAATCGAGTGAACGATTTTGAGCACAAAAATAAATGACAAACAATAAGAAAATCAATTAAAATTCGTCTCAACAACAAAAAATAACTCTTAAATAGTCTTAAAACAATTGTCGCCAATAATACACAAAATGCTTTTAACGCCATTTGAATGGCAAAATCGATACCAAGAAAGTCAAACATAAATACAATTCTCTAAACTATACACAAAAATCACTAATCATTACAATCAATACCAATCGACACAATCGTTAATCAATGACTTATTTTTACAGAATATTCTCTATATATGATTAATAAACCATATGCAACCACCCCTCCTAAGCCCTCAACAACAAAACCCCCGCAACAAAACACAAACACATCTCCGGCACAGACCTCAGGTTTGGCACTTCCGGACTCGGAATGGAGTTCCAGTCGATTGGGATACAGTTTCCCATACCGGGTCTGCCAGGCGCTGGCGAAGGGTCCGCCCAACTTCTTAATATACCCGTGTATTATACAGTCGGACTCCTTCTCGTCTTCAAACTTGTTCTTACTCTTCGCCCTCTTCTTCTGCTCCATCTTATCCGCCTCTGAGTTGATGGTCTCGAAGACCGTCTCCGCGATCTCCTGTTGCCACCGCTCGCTGATGACGACCGGGAAGTTCTTGTAGAGCTCCTGATCGGCTTCCGTCAGTTTGATGCCTTTGGTGTCCTCCTCGTCGAACGAGCCGATGTCGAAGGCGTCGGCGGCGTTCACCTCACCCCTCGGCGGGATCAGAGGGGGCGGGTATTTCTGGAGGTACACCAACTGCCAGTCGATGCCGTTAAAGAACGGGTGCTCTTTCACTTCCTCGGCGCTGATGTCGGCGATGAGACACCAATAGATTTATTAGCATTTTTTGATGATATATGATATGTGTGTCCAAAATGCATACCCCCTTCCCTTACAGCCCATCCGCTTGTCGACGTCCCGGTGCAGCAGTAACTCCAACAGGACTTTCAGTTCCGGTGTGAACGTGTCGGGAAGCTCTACGGTCTGTGCCGTTCATATGCGACAGACATATAACACAACGAAATGATGAGAAAAAAAGAAGTTTTTATTTAATATCTCCGAGACATTGAGTGTCAGAAACAATACTAAACAAACACAATGCCAGCGCACTGGTAGGGGGAACAGACACACTGTCATCGCACACATACCATAGTCATTGTCATCCTATCGATTTCGTGTTTGTCTTTAGTCTTGTGCTGACGGAACGGACTGTGCCTTCAGATGTGTCACAATATAAAGAGAGAAATATGTGTTAAATGTGTTCATCGATTATATTTCGCACACAGAATACGGATTACAGGAATATCGCACATATTTCTGCAGAATATTCCGTATATTCATAATTAACAATCACAACACTGTTACGTAAAACAACACACAAAAGTGTAGCACAGAATTCAAATCCAAATACCCTTTTAATAGCTTATAGAGCATACATCCCAACGAAAACCAATCGGCACTTGAGTCGTATGCGGTCCCCTTTGATAGCACTTCTGGAGCCATATAGCCATGTGTTCCTCTGCACCGGGAGTTTACGCAAAGAGATATTCAGTCAATAAATATCGTTACGAAAAGACAAAGAGATTTTTGAGATAATATTTTGTGGCGTGAAATGTATTTTTAGATTTCAATTTCAAAGACACAAACACTGAGTGAATGAGCGATGAAAATATCAAAGGTTTTCGTAGGGATTACTGTATATAAGGCTTACGTACGAAATATGTTTATAAAACTGTGATTTTTTGGGGGGAAAAGGAAGGGGTATACGGTGTGTATGACTTACACGGAGGCGTGAGGTTTCTTCTTGGAGAAATCACAGGCCAGACCCAGGTCCGATATGCGCACGTGACCATGCTCATCGAGTAATATATTTGCCGGCTAATTTGGTAAGCAACACACATGTATGGCATTAGTGTTTATGTCATTAAATTTAAATGGTAAGTTATTACAATAACAAAAAGTATAATTTATTCCCTGTAATAACCAGAATATTCTTTAAATAGAAGTCAATTTGGGTATTATTCATATTATGTATAAAAATATTGTAATTTTTAGTCATAGAGTTTAACATAGCGTACAGTAATTGCCTACAGAGTATTTTTACCACTGTTTGTATGAATAGCTTATAGCAACAGAATATTCTTATATTACATAATCGATTGCGGAATGCTACATATATGAGTGTTAATGGTATGTATGATAATAATTACTTTAAGATCCCTATAGACGACAAACCGCCGGTGCATGTGATCCAAACCTAATATCACTTCTGATGCATAAAATCTCATCTCTTGTTCGGTGAAGACTCCGTGTTGTGATAAGTGGTAGTGAAGGTCCCCACCATTCATGAGGTCCAGTATAAAACATAATTTGTCGGGCGTTTGAAAGGCATATGTCATACACACGATGAACGGGCAGTCCTCCTATGGGGTGGCCATCAAAACAAGCAAAACAAAACATTCATTTATCATATTATGTAAGGCATGAGAGAGAGAGAGAGAGAGAGAGAGAGAGAGAGAGAGAGAGACATTAAGAATATCCGCAAATATGTAGAATATTCTTGTAGTTAGTGTTAAAACAAATGGAAAAAGGCACGTATAATAAGGATTATGCAACGTACCCCGGTGCTGACTAGTGATAACATGATACGCTCGTTGAGGGCCAGCGTTTCACCCTGCTTCATTTTGATGCGCTTCTTATCCAAGCATTTCATTGCATACATTTTGCCGGTGTCAGCCTTCCGGCACCCGTACACCTCGCCGAAGCCACCCCTACCGATGATCCGGTGCACCGAGAAGTCATTCATCGTGAGCTGTATATTGAGCTCCAGATTCTTCCACTGACAGAATCGCGTGTATTTGTCACTAAAGGTTAGGTGTGAAGGGGAAAGGCATATACAGTACGAGTATTAATGACTAGCGGTTAGCTATCGTACGGTTAACGCAATTAAATATATAGTGTATTAAATATTTCATACGAAACACACGATTGTAATGTAATTATCGATAAGTTTGTCGACGAAACACAAGAATTTTGTTATTAAATTCATAAACAATTCCCGACAGCAGTCACTCTAACGTGTCATACAATTTGTATCGAGAATTGAGTGCATATAATATATTATTAAATTTGTTATATTATTTAGTGTATATCAAGAATTAGTGCCTAGTTTATTAGAAAGTTAATGAAAATGTTTGTCTAGAATTGTAACACAAGTACTTTGATATTTTAATATAAATTATCAATAATTTATCGTTTATTTATAATCATTGAATTTTCTGTGTATTAAATATTCAAAACTAATTTTGTGTTTTTGTTGCAAATTTCTAGCGTATAATGAGATTCCTATTGATTTATTAGAGGAATTAATTAATTTCTATAAACAAATGCCGTATAAAGTAATCACACGTTTGGGGCGACCGAGTGTTTAAAATGTTTAACTCATTGATTAAAAACTATTTGACAACTGAACCAAACGCGTGTAAACATTATTAATATGTTATTGTAATTAAGTTTAATTATTAAACATATAAGTAACAAAAATATAACTTATTTAATGGAGTTAACAAAAATAAATATCTTTAATACTCTTGGCATTTTAAAATGAGTGTTCAGAATGTAAATTAATTATTAAAACTCAGGAATTAGGAATATTCTGGTGAAATATCATATTTCTATTTAAAGCAAAATTACATTATTAAGCAAATTCTTTACAAAAATCATTATTTTTATTTTATTTTACTTTTCTATTCACTACAAAAATTCTCGTTTCATATATTCTTGAGCCGTATTTCACTGGAAAAAAAGTAACACAACAAAAATAAATATACAAAGTACCAGTATAATAATGTTTTGAAAACAAAACGCTGACTCAACAGATAAAAGTAGATTTTGATTGAATGTCTGTCACATATGAGCGTCAATTAAATCCCTCACCAAAAAACAAAAATCTATGTATTCTTGTGATCAAAGAATTTGCAAACTATTTGTATAGTCAGTCAACGGCGGGAGTGAGTGACTGATTGAGAGAGAGAGAGAGAGAGAGAGAGAGACTGCAGAGATTTTCGCACATAGTTTTGGCATTACATTGAAATCGGAAACTATAGTCACAAATATTATGAAATAGGATTCGAGTGATTGAACCCTTGAAGTCTCAAATTTTTATTTTCACTTTTCCTTTTGTATTTTTTTGTATAATACATTGAGTTATGGATTCTAATGGGGAGTTAAGTGGCTTTCAATGCCCTTTCAAATCAGTGCCACTATTTTATTCCTTCAATATATATATATATATATATATATTCTCTATTAATCTCTCGGTTTTAGTCGTATATTACATAACATATGATATAATAAAATACAAGATAATTGCTGTTAAATATGTGGAGTAAATCAAATGCAATGGGAAAAGAGTTATGAACAACATTATTGGACTCTTTTCGGACCGATTGGTATAAAAAGCAATCATTAGTTGGAAATCACAAGAATTAATGAGAGAATCGATTCGTGAAAATAAAAATCACATCTAAAACAAGTGTAGAGAACACTTGACATTCTCTCTCATAATAGCAGAGAGAGAATGAGAGAGAATTGGATATAATTTTTACGTAAAAATCAATAAAAACAAATATAAACTGTTTGTGTGTATATAGATATATAAACTACATATTATTAAAAGGGACACAGAATTGTAGTGACTGTTAGCACTGAGCAGTTAATTTCAACATAAATGTTGTGTACAGAACTGGAAATACTAGTGAGAGTACACTAGTATACTATTATATAATATTCTGTGTGTTTTGCATAAACACATCAAGACATAAATGTTTGCAAAAGTTGATGTGAAAACTAAGCGCAATTCACACAAGTTATAGACTTTTGAATGTCTTTAAAGTGAATGTTCGCTATTTATATACACATTACAGAATCGTGTCATATATACACTAGTATTGAATAAGAAATATATGCAAGAAATGGGTTTACCTTTCAATAAATTTCCTAAATATATCGACTCGTAAATGGCTATAGATTTCCTCGATGTAGGGCTGGAATAGAGTGACGGGTACTTCATTTCGCATCAAATACTTCTGCACGTGATTTACGGCGTCTTTCGAGTAATTCTGTACAAGAGATACAAGTATTTAAAGCCAACGGTTAGGACACCACACAATCGATTGGCAATAAAAGCAGCGAATCAATGGATGCATACATTCTTGAGGTCATCGCTGGCATAGAGAATAGTATAGAGAATATTCTTACGGAATATTATATAGAATTTTATATAATACACTGTATATTATATACTTAATGTATGAGTTATACTGATAAATGATTGTGTAATCAATTGAATTCTTGGGTTTTCGCTTAAAATTCATTAAGAAATTGAGTTATTTTTGTCAACAAATTAATCTTTGCATACGATTATAGTATGCACTTAAATGTTTTGGTGTGGGCTGGTATGCCATGTATTTGATAGGGATATGGCTAAAAATACTACACAATTAATATATTTTAAAATATTATAGTAAAACAGAGAATAATTTTAAAATTACTATAATGATTCATTAAGGGAATGGTATTTAAATTTAATTATATTTGGGATTTGGTTTG